AGAGAGAGAAAGAACGCAAGCACGGGGAAGGGCAGAGGAAGAGGGAGACAAGCAGACGGCCCGCTGAGCAGGGAGCCCATTGTGGGGCTTGACCCCAGGACCCCGAGATCATGCCCTGAGCTGAAATCAAGAGTCAGATGCTTTACTGACTGAGCCACCCAGGCGCCCAAGTCCTGGTTTCATCATTTAGAGAGATGGACACGAGCCTTTACTGATCAGAAGTCCCTTTCATGCTAGAAGACCATATGTAGAGACCTCGCTGAAAGGCAGGTAGGTCCACCCCAGAAACCTCAGCAGAGCGGCAAGTACTCTGCAGTGGACCAGAGACCAGAGGGATAAGAAAACTCTGAATGTGCAGCATCCAGGACACACCTGCTGGGTGCAGGATGGCCACAAAGCCCAAACAAGGACCTCTGATGGCAAGGTATCCCGTTACTGGGCAGTGTGTAAAGGGAAGCAGGAATTTAAAGGAGCCCGGAGACAGGCCCAGGGCTGGGCAGCGAGTGGCTGGTGCCGAACCTCCTCTCGGGGCCCACCTCTCCCAAGGAGAGCCCCATCCTGCTGCCACAGTGGCTCTGGGGAAATCCCTCTCTGTAGTCCTCCTAATGGTGCTGGCCTGACACAGCTCTGCTCTCAGCCCTGATTTAGAATCAGTCCGGGACCTGGGACTTCCGACAGGAACAGCTCCCCAAACCGTCTGTGTGTGATGTCCACTGCTAAACAGTCCCTGGCACAGTCTCTTGAATTTCAGACTCGTGAGATTTCCTGTCTTCCTACCATTTAGGATGCCTCATGCCCAACTCATAATGAATGCCCCTGGGGGAAAAACACAGTGGAAAAATGACATAAAACTGGCCAAGAGCTTGGAAGTGCACAAAGGATCGGACAGCACTGGGGCAGATGTTCTGGAAGGCCGCGAAGTGAGCCTCCAAAGAGCTCCATTTCTGCCTCCACCGAGGCGTCCGGTGTGGGAGTGCAAAGGGAGGGAGGCTGAATTGCAGAAGCCCCCACTCAGTGTGAGCTGGGCCAGTGCGTACCGCGTGAGGGAGGGGAAAAGGCCCATGTGTCCATGTCCCCTTTTCCAGCCCAAACCGAACAGTCCAACTCCAAAATAATGCTCCCGTACTTACTGGCATGGTTTTGTCCCCGAAGAAATAGATGGTCTTATAGCCGTCATTTTCCACATGTCTCAGGCAATACCTCTTGTCCCAGCCCTCAGGAAAGACATCAATGCTGATCTGGCCTCCTGCCGAGAGGGGGGAAGACACAAAAGCTAAAGGTGGAAAGGAGGCGAAGAGCACTTTGCTGAAAAGAACATGTGGCCTACTCGTCAGCAAGTGGAAGGCCAAGGTCTTTGATTTTTAACACCCTTGTTCGCTACTTATGCTACTTTAGGGACCAGTTCTAGAAATTAATATGACATTGCTTTTTCCAGCATTATTTCACCTAAAATCGAAAAGCGAGACAGACCACCAGCTCAGAACAAGGAATGCATTTGTGTTCAAGTGCTGCGCCAAGCGCATGGGTCTAAATGAAGCATGCTGGTGGAAAAGCTGATAATAGCTTCATTCAGCTGGGCCGGCCCGAGCTTTAACATGCTCTGGCTCTCAGGGGACGAGGCCTAGAAGCAGGCTGCATGCAGTTCATCTTGCAGGGAAAAGGAAAAGCATGTGGAAGGTGATTTGCAGGCAGCTTTCAGGAGCGATGAAACCGTTTGAAAGCTTTGTCAGAGAGATGTTCACCTTGCAATTCAAGAACACTTGAACATCTACCCGTTTATCTATCAGACATAATCCCTTTGCGATTCTGGTTTTCCTACAACTGTACACTTAGCGGAAGTGGTAAAACAAGAGGGCTTTACATAATCACTCATCAGCGTTCACTTCAAGTGTCTGACAAGTATATTCTACCAAAAACCAAGGCCAAGATGCCAGTGCCGCAGGAAGAAGTCCGTCGGACACCGGAACCGTTTGCACGCCGGGCCGCCATTGTAGATACAACCTTTGTGGGCTCAGACAAGTCCCCTTTCCTTCCAGGGCCTCAGTTTCTTGATTTGTAAAACCAACCCAACTGACTGCTAAGGATCTCTGCTGCTCACCCAGCATGAGATTCCAGAATCTATTGGGCCGAGCGCTATTTTGGGCCAGCAGGAGAGGTGTGGGGAGGAATCCTGCCGGGTGAGACTTTAGAACCAAACCCAGCAGCTGGGGTGAGTCTCCATGAGGGCTGACCACACAGGAGTGCTTGCCCCTGAACGCCTCTTGCCCACCTCCACACCGGGCACAGTCCCATTTCAAGAGCTCACCGGCCCCCGGCAAACCCCCTGGCAAGCGATTACCAAAGCCCGAAGGAAACCCGCCTGAATGCACGGTACCTATGGAGAACGTGACGCCTTTTCCCACAAACTCTTTCTGCAGTTCTGCTACGAACTTCTGTCTGATATTTTCTTTCTGAGAAGAACAAGAAGATACCGATTATCTAGTGCATGGCAGTTCAGAAAAAACCCTTTAGCCGCCGGCCGCCAGGCTGCACATCTTATCTTATCTCCATAGACCCAGGCTGTGTTCAAGGGGCTCACTTTATCGAGTTCGTGAAACTCAATGCGTTCTTCTTGGCTGCAGCTTCTCCCAATCGGGGACACGTTCAACATCCCATTTCGGAACTCAATGAAAGTACCCCTAGAGAGGAAAGGGGACGGGCCCCAGAGAGACATTATTTATGTGGGCGACGTTACAGATGGGTAAACAGGCTCAAATTTCCAGAAGGCAGGGGCTGGTGTGATCAACATTTCACAGGGCTGGGCTCAGCCACACGGCAGCCACGGGCCACATGCAGCTAATCTGAACTGAGATTAGATTTCAAAGATGCAGCATGAAAAAGGAATGTCATCCTCATTCGAAATGTTTTACGTTGACTATGTGTTAAAATGACTATATTTTGACTATAATGAGTTAAATAAAATACGATTAAAATTAATTTCGGTGTTCCTTTTTCTTTTTTTAATGCAGCTACAGAAAACTTAAAATTGCACGTGGCCCACATTATTTCTGTTGGACAGTGAATTTTATCATTAATAAAGAGCAATGATGGGCGCCTGGGGGGCTCAGTCGGTTGGGCATCTGCCTTTAGCTCAGGTCATAATCCTGGGGTACTGGGATCGAGCCCTGCGTTGGGCTCCCTGCTCAGCTGGGGAGTCTGCTTCTCCTCCCTCTGCCTGCCTCTCTGCCTACTTGTGCTCGCTCTCTCTCTCTCTCTGTGTCAAATAAAAGAAAAAAAAGAGCTATGGAAATGATTACCATCTCTCAAGTTCCCGAGGAGTCTGAAAATTCATGTGCCTGACCCCTTTGCTAGTGACCTCTTGAACCCACTGATCTGACCACACAAAGCTATGGGGAAAGGCTCGGAGGGCTGCTTGGCGAGCCTCCTCCCTCATTACCGAGGAAACACTGTGCAGCCAGCCGCTACTAAATGGTTGATCTGATCACAGAAAATGAGAACAGCTCAACACTACTTATTTTGAATAAAGATGTTTAAAAAAAAAACCCATATCCCCTCGTGTTTCCAGTTTGAATCTCAAAATAGTTTCTTAAAAGCTCAAATAACTGTGAGCTATTTATCCTTACAATGCAATTTAAGTGTTTTGTGACTGTGTGCTCAGAAGTATCTTCTAGTTTTGTTTTTTTTTTAAGATTTTATTTATTTAACAGAGAGAGACACAGCGAGAGAGGGAACACAAGCAGGGGGAGTGCGAGAGGGAGAAGCAGCATTCCTGCGGAGCAGGAAGCCCGATGCAGGGCTCGATCCCAGGACCCTGGGATCATGACCTGAGCCGAAGGCAGATGCTTAACGACTGAGCCACCCAGGCACCCAGAAGTATCTTCTAGTTCTAAACGCTGATGCCTATGAGCCTCTCAAACCTCTTCCCTCGGCCCTTTCTGTCTTCCACACACAGTCCTGATCTCGAACCACCAGCCACCTGTAAATCCCAGGGACCCCGGCCCAGTGTTGAGCTGAGGGCCTGCTTCAAGGCCAGCGCGGCCTCCTGCGAGGCTGTGTGACTCTGGGTGCCTCTTGGAGCCTCACAAAGGGGCTGACGTAGTCATTGTGGTTACCTCTAAAGGGTCCTGAGAAAACCAAATGTCCTAGTTTTTGTTAACTGGGAAGCAATGAATACTCGTTAGGTAAAGTAAAAGCAGCAAAATCTCAACCGCTGGATCCTCTCCCCGGCTGTGCCCAACTTGCACAGAAGCAAATGATACAACACAGTTTTCAAGAGTCCCCTACCTGCGATGTCCTGGAGCTGGTATGGACCAGCCCTGTCCCCTATACCTTCTACAGGGACCCTGGTGACCCTTCCCAGGGGTGACCCTGGGACTGCGGTGCTAAACTCTCAGAAAGAGAGGCTCGATGATTTCTCCCCAACTCAAGGACATAATATTACTCTCGTTCCCAAGGGAGGGAGGCTGATGCATTTTAGAAAGGCTTCTGTTCTCAAAAACTAGGATTAAGGAAGTTTATCAAGTGTTCAACTCCTCCCTGAGGATCTGGACTCATCTGAAGCCTTCCTGCGCCCGTGTGACCTGTGTGTGGGGTGCACAGTGAGACTGATGAGAGGTGTGGGCAAATGCTGATCCAGGTGGGTCTCAGCTCTGCTGCCTGAATTCAGGGGGGATCTTGTGCAAATTTGAAATGACAGGTCTTCAGAGACCACAGAAGCCAGAAGTGATGGTATTTTACAACGTGAAATCTGACTTTCAAATGACAGCAATTAATGCAGATTTTATGTCACACTGTGGGCCGAGCGAGCAAGGCTGCGCGTGAAGTGTGGCCTGGGCCTCCAGGGTGACTCCCGGGTCTGGGGCTGATGCTCTTCTCACACTGCGGTTTTACAGGCCTTTCCTCGGACCCACAGCCTCGGCAAGTGTCTAGTTTCCGATTCCCATCATGTGGCAAAGCCATCATTTATGGATTCATTCTTCCACTAGAAGGTTTCCAGCAATGTCTTACTAACTAAGCACAGAGCCCAGGACTGGAATCAGCACCAACCCAGCCAATGCCACTCCTCCCCATGCTAGGGCACGCAGCCTCTTTGGTAAAAGCAAACCCACCTCTTCTTCGGGAGTTTAATTTTTGCAATGTAGCTCAGACAGTAGTTGATTAAATCTTGGATTAGGGCCTCACCCAGGTGACCTTGAATACTCTAGATAAAGAAAATACTGGGGTTACTTGATTTGGGGGACGCATTTTCAAAATAACTTTACAGCAAACCCAGAGCTTCAGCCACTACTGGCGGGGGTCACTGGGCTGATGTGGCGGCCAGGGTGACACGCCCCACCACCTTTTTCCTTCTTTCCCTGCTTGCAAACATAAGGCAAACCACAAAGGGCTTTAGTTAAAGCATTTCCTGCTCCATGACTCAAGACTTTTGTACTCATTATCTTTCGAAAGCTTCATGGAAGGCCCAAAGAGTTTATTACTGCTGCTTTTATTCAATTAAAATATCTAGAGACACTGACAAAAAGTGTATTCGTTCCCCTCAGACTTTTTCTTATGTCTGAGTGGAATGATCTTGTTACTAATAAGAGCTACACAGTACCTCTTAAAAATGCTTGTAGAGAGGCAGTCTATCCTAGTCTCTGCTCGCATAATAGAAATATCAGATTACGTATCCTTAAAAAACAATGATAAAAATTTAGTTCACAATTTGGAATATGTGATAGTCACATGGTTCAACATTCAAGATGTAGAAAAGAATGTGGGGTAGGGATTCACTCCTCCTGCTCCTCACCTCCCAGATACACCTCTCCAGAAGCACCCAATGTCAAATATCTTTTTAGAAACCATTTTAATAACAGTATATGGTCGTCTGGATACTCAAGAACCTACCTGTTTACACAAGAGTTTCCCATCTTTGTATGCAACCAGGCCATTTTCAGGAAACACATAATCATATTTTTCAACCACTGCAACCGAAATAAAAGAAAAGAACTGAAGCTGGAGTTTCTATTTCTCGATTAACACATATCGTCAATAAAACTGAACTCCAATAAGGACTGTGAAAGGGTATCTCGTCTTAACAGGTTCAACAGGTGGGGAAAAAAGCTCCTTAAAAAAAAAAAAATTCTTTTTCTAAAAAAGACTTTGGGGGGGCGCCTGGGTGGCTCAGTCATTAAGCGTCTGCCTTCGGCCCAGGTCCTGATCCCAGGGTCCTGGGATCGAGCCCCGCATCGGGCTCCCTGCTCAGCGGGGAGCCTGCTTCTCCCTCTCCCACTCCCC